TATGTCAGAATTAATGTTTGGGTGTGTGTGTGTGTTTGTGTGTGTGTGTGTGTGTGTGTGTGTTTGTGTGTGTGTGTGTGTGTGTGTGTGTGTGTGTGTGTGTGTGTGTGTGTGTGTGTGTGTGTGTGTGTGTGTGTGTGTGTGTGTGTGTGTGTGTGCGCGCGCGCGCGCTGGGTGTGCGGTGTGAACATAAGTCGACCTTAAAGAGAGCGTTCTGCTGAAACATGATGACTCCATGCAGGCTGGATAAATAATGGAGGAGTTGCAGCTGCAGGGCGTTTCAGCCATATTTTCTCTCATCTGCAGAAGAAGAAACGAGTGACCGGCCCCAAAAGATGCTGCTGGTCACTGTGACCTCTGACCCTAAAGCTTCATATGTGGTGTGATGATAACATAATGGTATAAACCATTACAAAACATGAAAACATTTCATGTTTAATGTAATCATCTCAGTCAAAACTAAACATTTGGTGACGTTTTGCCTTATTTTTACGCTCACATTAATTTCTCACAAAGGACGAAATATTATAAACCTTCTCAAATGTTTAATTTTATATATCGTTAGAAGAAAACATTGGGGAAAAAAACTAACAATGGATTAGCCTGCTGGCAAATATGTAAACATCCTTAAGTGAATCTCTTGGTTGAGAGCCATGGAGCTAGCCGGCTCTCTAGCTACACAGACAAATGTTGCGGTTTTTCCCCCAATAGAACAGAATCTACTGGACTATCAGGAGGGAAACATCCGAACAGACATTTTCCACAAACAGAAGATCGCTACCAATCTAGAAAGGTAGCTACAATGCTAGCTGAACAGCAAGTGTTCAGATAGATAACGAGGTAGCTACAACGCTAGCTAGATACGTAGATACAGAGCTAGCTAGATCACTCTGTAGCAACATAGAGGCTAGCTAGAAAGATAGCCGTTATCTAGATAGAAGTTAGCTAGATCTCTGGTAGTCTACCCAGAGTTGTAGCTAGGGAGTTAGCTATATAGCTAGCGAGGTAGTGAGGCAGCTGTCTAGCTAGATATGTAGCTATAGTATCTATCACCAGAGAGCTAGCTAGCTCTATCTGTACTGCATTCCACCTGAGAGGAAAATAGTTATTTTTACAGTCACAACAAAGCAAATAAATTCATAAATATGTAGAGATGAAGCAGAATATTTAGTCTCAATAGAAAATGAGCTGATTGGAGACAAAAGTTGGCATCAATTATTGTTTTCTGGTGCTTTAGGGTCCAATCTGAGTCTATGTGGACTAAAAGCTTCAGGTGCAGTAATAAATGCGAGGTTTGGATCCTCCACTAATTCACGCTCTGATTGTTGGAAACGTGTGCAAGAGATGCTGCTGTCGATTTTCTAATAAATGAAGACAAAAAGGCTGAAGGTTTGCAAAAACAGACGGCTGAGGAACCTAAATCCAATATGGCCGCTGCACAGATAAAACATAACACAGAAAACGCATCGTTATCAGCCTGTGCTGCTAAAAGTACTGAGTATTTTACTTTTACTGAAGTATAGAGTGTTACTTTACCTAGTTTTGGCTTTTCATGATTGTTTTACATTTTAACTTCCATATTTGTATTTGATTGCATGGAAAGTGCTCCATAAAATCTGATTTACTGGATCCTGGTCTTACCTAAAAAAATTACATCAAAACACTCATGCTGATGTGTTTTTATGTGTAAAATTTAAGATTTGAGACTAAAAATGATAAAATTCTTGTGGGAAAATGTTTTTTTCAGTATGTCGGCTTCATTAGTCCGTCTCACATTTAAATGCAGCTTCAAGTTTCTCACAGATTTTTATATTTGGAAATAAAGGAGTAAACTTCTGCCAAAAAGCTCAGGAATTATTAATCCCAGAAATGTTTAGGGAAAAAAACAAGGAGCTTTCTGAGTTGCCATTCAAACATTTTTCACTTTTAAAACTCAGAAACGTCCAGAACATTTTTGCAAAACTTGCATTTGCAAGTTTTAAAACTCAGAAATGTTCATGTTTTTTCTCAAGGATTTCTGAGTTTAAATATAAGGCAAAAATGACGAGTAAAAAGAAAATTTATGATTAATTTTGGAAATTTTTAAGAAAAGAAACTGGGAAATCTCAGTCGAACGTTTTTAGAATAATCTAAAATGTTTCTGCTTCTTAAAGCAAATCTGACTTTTCAAACTGAAATTTCAACGTTTTTTGTCAAAAATGTATCAATGTCTAAATTTCTACGTTTTTTCTAGAAAATTTTTAATTTCTCAACTTAAAAATTTCAAACTTTTTTCTAGAAAATTTTGTCAAGACTTGTGACAGAAATGTACTCCTCCTTTTGTTTTGTTTTTTCTATCTCTAATAGCCCAGATGTTGTATGGAAAGCAGCCCGAACAGGTCCAGATCAGGTTCGGTCGGACTCACTTGTGTTTGGCGAACTCGTCCTGCAGCAGAGCCACGTAGTTGGCCGGGATGAGCCCGGACTGCGGCGCCCCGGTCAGCTTCTTGGCCAGCACGTAGTCGCCCCGCTTCTCGATCACCGACAGCTTGTCGCCCTCCTTCACCGTCAGCTCGTCGTCGCTCCGGGCCTGGAAGTCGTACAGCGCCGCGTACAGCTGCACCGGCCGCTTCTTGGGCGACGGGGCGCGGATGTCCCCCGACACGGTGCGGATCTCCGCCGACCGGGCCCCCGGGTTGGCGATGACCAGGTTCGGGACGGGCGGGTAGCGGGGACCCGGCCAGATCCAGTTCCAGAGCCGGGAGCAGCAGGGGCAGCAGGCGCGGCAGCAGTTCTCCATCCTGGGTCATGAAGGAGCTCCGAACCGGGCCTGGGACACACAGTCAGCAGCCTCTCCGTCCGCCGGGAACATAATGAATCCGCAGCGCGGGGCGGCCCGCCGAGCCGGACGAACCGGTTTCCTTTTTTGTTGAGATCATGGATCTTCGCTCCGCGCCTGCAGTGCGCACAGCGGCTGCGGGAATGCGGAAACCGGACTCTCCTCCATCCGAAGCGGCTCGGGTCGCTGCGGGGGCTCGGTGCCGGTGCCGCATGGCTCCCGGAGGTTAATCCATTCAGCGCAGCTGAGGAGGCGCAGAGGTGACGCTGAAGGTGAGGCGGGACGGTGCGTAAAGAGGTTCGGGTTTGGCGCTCCGCACAACATCCAGGCTGCGCACCGAGGAGGAGGAGGAGAGAGGAAGGTGCAGCAAACAGGGCGGGAGGGGCAGAAACCGGCAAGTTTTCATCACTTCATCAAACAAAGGAGTGTTTAATTAATGACATCATCACGGATTCATGTGTCCATTTATCACCAGATTTACTCAGTGAGCTGCAGGTTTAACTTGTATCCAAAACAAGAAGCAGCTGAAACATCTGAAGCTGTTTTAGGCGATTCAACACCTTTTAATGAGAAATTTATTTGATTTAACTACAGAAAAAATCTCTCTTACCAATGGCAAATTAAATTAAATTAATATATCAGCGGGAATAAACTAATTTATTTAATACATCCTCTGGCTCCATACTGTTCCCAAAGAAATGACTCCATAATTTCCAAATAGTTTAATATTGTGTAATAAATAATATGGCTTAATATAAAGTACAACATTTGCAAAACATGTTAAAAAATGAGATAAAAATATTTGAGGTTTGATTTCCAGATTTCTAAAACATTACAGAGTTTTACTTTATCGGCAGATTTATGTAGGAACAAAATCTCACCTGCAGAATGTCATTGATTGCGTCGCTGGAGGAGGGTGTATGGAAAGCCATCCAGTTCAAAAATATCTGACTTCTAAAATTTAAACGTCAACATTTTCTGTAAATTTTAACTAAAATTATTATACCCTTGCTAACTAGCTAGCTAACTTTTTTGTGTCTTAAAGATGTACAATGACAAGTGATTGTCATCGAAACTCAACATATGGAAGTCTGGGCGGTGGCAGCAACAAAAGTTAAAAATTCTTCTACTTTCTTTTGTCGCATAGCTAACCTGCATCTGCATGTCTACGTTTACGAGCGCAAAATTTCACATGCAAGAATGTCACCACTCGCTTGGCCAAAGGAGGTATATGAAAACCATCCAGTTCAAAAATATGTAGGCAACATGTCAACATTTTCTGTATAGCTTTTTTTTGCATCGATTGTAAGTGATGGAGTTGACATACAGGTAGCACACAAAATCTCAAATGCATAAATGTCAATAGTCGCTTGGCTTACGAGGGTGTATGGAAAGCCATCCAGTTGAAAAATATGTCACCTCTCACAAGTAGACAACACATAAGCATTTTCAGTACATTTTCATCAAAATGAATTAACATATCCTTGCTTGCTAGCTTTTTTGTGTCTATCATAGGTAATGGACTTGACACATGGAAAGCAATAGGCAAAAGTTATCGCCTCATGGCAACAAAAGGGAAACATTTTTTTCAATTTTCTGATGTCGCATCACAAGCCCAAAACGGCCAAAATTAAGATACCCTTGCAAGCTAGTTTGCTAGTTTTTCCCCCCGTTTGTCATGAGTGATGGGTTCAACACACAAGGATTGTAGATAACACGTCAATAACACATCAATAACACGTTATCTAAACATTGTCAAGGTGTTTATAGGTTGATTTTATGTTAATACATTAACAAGTAGAAAACACATTAATGTGTTTTCTACCCATTAGACATATTTTTGATCCAAATGGCTTTCCATAAGGGCATGCAATTGTCGCCTCTTCGTAAGTTCCGTAGAAATGAATGGAGAGTCCTTTAAACACAAAACTTATCACCAGGTGGCAAGACGATGTTCATTTCCACCACTTCTGTTGTCAGTCTATACAGAGATACGTGAAAAATGTACAGAATAACTTTAAATATTGGTACTATTGGTGAGAAATGTGAAAAAGTCCAAGAGGAAGAACATGGGCAATATGAAAGGAACGAAGGCCGGCCTGTTTCCATAATTAGCACACTGTTTTATTAGTATATTTAGCTTTGTGACGTACAGCTCAGGAGGAAACAGAAAACAAATCAACAAACTTAAATAGTCACAAATCTTTCAAGTCCAGAAACATTTCAGCTTCAGCAATGACATCACACAAAGTAAAGTTTCTTTTTTTAAACCACTGATCTTTTTCCCCATCATGGACCAGAGTGATATGTTCTCATTTCTGGGTAAAACAAACCTCTCCCAGGCAGTTAACAGAAAAAAACAACCCAGTTCTTTTTTTTTTTGTCTTTTTTCCCCTTCTTGTATGTTAAGACCAAAATTCAAGCGCAGGTACTGGAAAAAAAGGTTTCCACTGGTAAATATAATAAACAATAAATATAAAAAGAACTTTTGATATAATTTATATGGTATCAAAGAAGAGGCAGGGAAATGGGCCTTCAGTGGGGTTTGTTTTTACAAAAACATGTTTTCCTGAGGTTGAGTTTTTCTTTAAGTTCTGCTAAATACACTAAAAGACCCGACACTCACGGTCTGTAATGGCTTATCATTCGCTGAGGAACTGGTCCTCTCCTCTGGACTCGGTTACGCCAGCGGAGGGTCTCTGTGATTCTGTGCCCACAATCGGAGCCAAACCAACCCACGTTTCAACCCCAGCCAGAACCGCGACGCCGCGCTGACATCACCGCTTAAAATGCTAACGGCGGCGTTTCAGAAACAGTCGCCTTTCCCTTCGCTGTAAAGGACGGACAGAGATGAACGGAGGAGGGAAGCAAACAAAAAACGCAAAGAAGATCAAGCCAGGGAGATCTGCAAAAATCTGTACATGTAAACATCACACTTCCACTGAGTCAAATGAGGGGAATGCAGGTTTCACATTGGTTTTACTGGAGGTACGAAGGCCTGGCAGAAGAAAGCAGGACAATAGAAACGTGTTGGCTGTTTGCCGGTACAAAGTCAGGAGGAGAAAGAAAAACGTTCAGCCTCCAAAAACAGGCTGAGACGATTCTTTAAATGTTTGCCTGTTGACCATCTGACAGACCTGAAGCGGCATCACGTTCTTTATCCCGGTCCAAAGGGACGTGTTCACGTTTCTGGCTGCTTGGTTCATCTCTAATGCTGAATACTACTTTAGATTCATTATTTCCTATAATCAGAAAAAAAGTTTCATCATTAATTTGAAAGTATTTCTTAATAGATCAGTTGATTGCTGATTGTTGGGTTTTCCTGAATGATAGAAGCTGTGCATTTATAGTCATATAAATTGTTAGCAAGCAAAATTTTACTAGTAAATGTTTTCTCTCTCAGACTTTCTTTACACTGGTTGACGATTATACTTGGACAAAATACTTTCAAGAAGTGTTTGCCGGGTCTTAGCAGGGTGTTGAATATGCCAAATATCTAATATTTATTAGATTTTCAGCATCTCGTTGAGAACTTTAGGATCTTAGGAGGGTCCTGGTCAGGTACTTAGGGTCTTGTTATGGTCTTAGTGACATCTTTAGCATCTTGTTGAGGACTTTAGGGTCCTACCAGGGTGTTTGTAAGGTCTTCTTGGTCTTAGCAAAGTCTTTAGGGTCTTGATAAAGTCTTACTGATATTTGTGGCATCTTGATTAGGACTTTAATAACTAACAAGGGTTGTGGTAAGGTATCTAGAGTCTTTAGCATCTTGTGGAAGACTTTAGACTTAGCAGAGTTTTTGAAAGGTCTTGGTAAAGTCTTACTGAGATTTGCAGCACATGTTTGAGGTCTTGAGGTTCTTAGTAAGGTCTTGGCAATGTCTTTAGGGTTTGGTAAAGTCCTAGTGAGATCTTCAGCCTCTTGTTGAGGATTTTAGGGTCTTGGCAGTGTTTTGGCGCCATCGTTTGGTGAATATTAAGGACGAACTGGGTTAATCATTTCATGTGATGGAGCATTTTGGGTCATAAAGGATTACAACAAAGGGCAGGACACAGTCAATAGAAAAGGCCCGTCTTGATTACCTGATTTTCCTAATTTTGCTCCATTCAGCCACATTTTAACAGGCTAAGAAGTTCATGCAGAGCAAAGTCACGCAGTTTGGCTCAAGCTATTTTAGCCTCTGATAAAAGACATGATGCCGGTCAGGTCCGTGTTTGGAATGTACTGTGTTGGATCTGAGAGTTAGGGGATAAAATACCTTGTACCACCCTACAAAATATACTGAAAGAATAGAAACCTTTATAACAAAAGTTGTATTAAAAAGTAAAAATGAAATAGAAATGTGTTGGCTGTTTGCCACCGGGAGGAAACGCTTCGGTTATGGCTCCACCTTTCTATCGATTGTCCTTTGCTATTATTTATGTTGTATTTAACACAGTTTGTTGGTGTTTTAATTATTATTGATATTATCATTTCTGATTGGAGAGGTGGGGGTGCAGTACTGTGGATGTCTGGTTTTGCGGTAAACCTACTTGAATGACTTACACAAGATTATAAACTGCTAACAGGCGGCTGCTTGGTTCTCAGACCTACATTTGCTCTCCTGCTGAGTTTCTGAAGGGTTTTAAGCTTGAGCAAGCTTCTGGTGGTTTATGCCCATGGTAGCAGGATATCAGGGCCTTTGACTGAAGACGGGGACATGCAGTTGCAGGAGAACTTTATCCTAACCATCATTTACCCTACAGACATCTGTCTAAGGAATTTAGTCCGATGGACTGAAACAAAACAAATATCCTTCCACCTGCAGCAAAGACCAATCCCCAACCATGTGTCAATAAATACCAGGCCAGCTCAGCTGAACCTTATTCTCCTTTCAGGCCCAGAAAACAAGAGTTTGTTATGGAAACAACCTGAAACGGTTTGAAAATCCATGATGGCAGTAGCATCATGGGGGCTGATCTTCTGCCATGTAGACCTCCATCTAATGTCCAACTTTTATTCAGTATCAAATTCTTCATCCAGTGTAAAGAAGTAGCAAAATATTTATCCAATTACTCTATTCTAAGTGTGACCATCAAGTTACGCAAAAATCCTTTAAAAATTTACCATTTTACTCAAACACACTGAAATTTAGCTATTCATGTCTTCTGCAAACCTAATAAAAACATTTGCAGTGCAACATGTCTGAACTAAAGGCATGCTTCTTGCTTGCTCTCCATCCTTCCAACCTGATCTTACTTTTGCATATTTTTTGAGAGAGGTCCACATCCCGGACAAGCCCCCAACTGTTTCTCTCTCATGTTTTCCATTCAGCAATAAGAGCACTGAAACAGATTCCTCCTTTCTTGTGAAAATAATCATTATAAATTCTACATAAAGGAGGTCTAAATTAAGTTTTTACTGTTGCTGCTTGCAGCCTGTTACATGAAAGGAAAAAAATGGCAAACATATTCTGATTATCAAATGCATTTCAAAAACAATATGCATGTCCTCACACAATTATAGGCCTCCCCTTTAACACCACAGATCACTAATGTTTGGCTCACTGTGCAAAAATTGAGTGAAAAGTTCAGCTGCAGCTGAAAGCATCTCTTGCAAACTTCAACAATCTCCAACAACGTCTAAACCAAAAAATAAACTCAAGTTAGCATGTGAAAACTTAAGTGGCTCGTTGCTAATGTTGCAAATTATTCCAAAAGAATCATTTTTAGAAGATCTGACCAAGTATTTTTGTATTTTTGGGCAGAAGAAGCTGAAACAGCATCTCTTTTATGGCTTAATCAAACATAATTAATCGATTAGCTTTAGATGTTTTGAACAAGAGCCTGTTTCCCATTTTAGCTACACCAAGCAGCTGCAGCCTCAAAGACAATGAAACTCACTGACAAAAAGCTGCTACCAACACCCAGGAATGGTCCAAATTAGACATCATTTGGTCCGAGTGTGACCCAGCGACGGGGATCTGAGATCAAGCACCAGAGGGCAGAAGCGGCACCATCTTGAGAGGAATGACTAGAAGCTTTGCAGACTTCACAGATTTTGGCTTAGACCAAGGTAAACATTTGTTTTGTGCAACAGAGACTCATGGCTATGTTATTATGTCCCTTTGTTGCATTTATAAATGTTTTTTTTACAATCCCAACAAGCATTTAAAATCAAAACATCATCAGAACCAGTTTCTTATTGGCAGAATCGGACAAAGACTGGTTTAAAGAAAGCACTGGTACTGGTTTGGTGGGAATCCAAACCTTGATAGTTACCAGATGTTGCAACCAAAGTGAATCCTAAAAAGCATACAGCCAAAGCCTCAACCAGAATCCTCCACTCTTGATGATTCAAGATTATGGTTTTGCATATTTTTTGAGGGAGGATCACATCCCGGACGAGCCCCCAAATGTTTCCTTCATGTTTTCCATCCAGAGTTTTATCTGTTTTAGACGTTCCTACTAGTTACAAACCACACCAATTATTTTTATCCCCATGTCTGATCTATCTGTTGACCAATTTATGTCCAAATCAGATCTTTCCACCCAGGTGCTGAGCCGTTTATAATCAATGTTTTGGTTGTCAGGAATCTGAAGGTCTAATTCCACTCCAACACATCCCTTACCGCACCCCTGGAGGACGGAAATACTGAAATAAGAAAACAAGGCAAAACAACCGATTCACAGTTAGAAAGTCACAAAGACAACATGGAGAAAGCCCTATGAAGCAACAAAGAGGCGACCAGCCGGTGTGAGACGGAGGAGCGAAGCTGACAGAGTCCCGGTGGTTTGGTTATGGTTCGCGGTCGAGGCAGCAGGAAGTCAGTCGGTCGTACGGCCGGGTCGCCACGCCCGGCCGGGTTGAGGTTTCAGGTCTGTGGCAGAAGGTCCGGTTTCTCAATAGCAGCAGCGACATGAAAGTTCATATAATTATCATAGTAGTAATAATAATAACAATAATAATAATAACAGTAACAACAATAGTAATGGCCATTACAGAGTTTAAAAAGACAAAACACAGAAAGAGAGAGGAATCCTCATCTGGAGACCAAGAGGAGGACGTTTAGGTCCATGAGATGGAGAGGACGGGAAGGAGGAGGTATATTTAACCCAAAGATGCTGAGGTGTAACGTTTGTAAAGAGAGGAGACACACCTCCCACTCCATCCCCTCTACACACACACGCCACACACACACACACAATTTAAGGACAAAACTATCACACTCCCGCCGGCTTCAGCTCCGATTCTTCAAGTTTTCAAGATAAACTGGTTATTTACAGCAGCATGCCAACAAACCCGCGCAGAGAAAAGGAAAAGTTCAGAGGTCAGCGAGTCGTTGAAATGCTTCATTTCTGCAGTGGGGGAGTCGGAGTAAACTGGTTTCCGTTTGGGAATGTCGAGGATCCGAAAGCCGAGTCGGCAGGTCTGATCTGAGGTAATTCCTGGTGCTCAAAGAAAAATGGATGCATAAAGTAAGCAGCGAGTTGCTTCCTGGGTAAAAACAGTGAGAGTCGGGAGGTTTGAGGAGAGAAAAGTGCTGTAGGACACAGAGAGCAAGTATGTACAAGCTAGCAAAACAACAAATGACAAAAATCTGTCATTTCCCCTTTAAATTAAAGACTTCTCCAGTTTTAGTGCTGCGCTTTTAGATCAGTCAATTCAACAACACTGCAAAAACATAAACTCTTACCAAGTATTTCCATCTAGTTTTTAATCCAAGTATCTTGGTGCACTTTAAATAAGACAAAACTAACTTAGAAGTATAGGAGCTTGTTGTAAGTCATTGCTTCCTTCATATTAATAAAAGTACTAGTTCCACTGGCAGATTATTTCACTTCTTACAGAATCAAAGGGTCCTGTGCCGTTACCTAGCAACGCCAGCCACGCCCAGCCCGTCACCTAGCAACCAAATTCTAATCCTACTGGCAGATTGTTTCACTTTAACACGGAAAAAATCTCCTGCTATAAGTAAGATAATCTGCCAGTGGAACAAACTCTTATCAATATTAAAGAAATATTTACTTAAAACAAGCTCCTAGTTCTTGTTGAAAGTTAGCTTTGTTTTATTTTTTATGTTCTTATATATTTGCACAAGAAACTAGACTAAAATACTTAGCAAGATTTTGTGTTTTGCAATGAAGCAAAGAAACAAACAAAATAAATCAAAAGTCCATCAGGGACTCATCAGATATTAGTTTAAACTATTCAGTTTTCAACAAATTCACTGGATAATAATAATAATAATAATAATAATAATAATAATAATAATAAAACACTTCTCTATTTAATCTGGAGAGTTTTATCTGGACAGTACCATCAGTTTTCCTCCAGCTGATTGTGAACTTTCTGCTCCGTGTTTTCCTCAAAACAAAAAAAATAAAATAAAATAAAAAAAAATGTTTCCCACATGCAGAGTCGGTCCGTTTAGATGTGGGGAGATTGTTTCTGCTTTTATTCCACTGAATCCGAATCACAGGTGGGACGACAGTAGAGGAGGTCTGGAGTTCATCACAGGCGAAGCAGACACTAAACAAGCATTACGTGTGTGTGTGTGTGTGTGTGTGTGTGTGTGTGTGTGTGTGTGTTGTCTCCCATGGTTTCCCTCAGTTCTGCTGCAGGATGAGGTTTTCCAGCTCGTCGGCTGAGCGAAGCAGGAAGGCCGCCGACTCCCGGTAACCGGCGATCAGCTGGCGCACGGCCGTGATCTCTGGTTGGCTGAGCTGTGTGGATGCCCCGCCGCCGCCGCCGCCGCCGCGCCCGCTGAGGTTGTTGGTGGTGGTGGAAGAGGAGCAGTTGGTGATGTTGGTGGAGGAGAGCGACTTCATGCTGAGGTCTGTGGGACCTGGAGGAGACGGTGGAGATGTGCTGCTGTCACAAACCGTTTCTACTGCAGGGCCCAAAAACAAGAACAGATGGATGCTTCAGGTTGTAATGCAAGGCTGCTACCACAAGGTGGCAGCAATACACTCTTCTTCATTACTATGATGCTGAAAACAGGGACATTATTTCAATAAGCTCCATTAAATTCGCTGCCTGTTTTTAGCCATCAGGTGGAACAATCTGTTGCTAACTCCATGAGTTTGATCCATGAGTTTGATCAGTTATTGCTGAAACAATGTGTGACTGCAGCTTGCCTTTTAGCAGCAAACATGGAGGAAAAAAGCTCTGGTCAGTGGAAACCAAGTGAAGCTAAAACCTCCACTTGACAAGTTCTGCTAGAAAATAAGTACAGAAAAGGTCTTTATTTTAAATGCGAAATGTAATTGTTTTGTACAGTTATGGCTTACTTACTGCTCTGAGCACTAGCAGAACAAGTCAGCGTCGGGCCAGGGGGCGGGGCCAATGACCGCGCCCCTCATGTGCATCACCTGCGCAGCTGGGAAACTGTTGGGTGGGGGGGTCGTTTGATTTTTACCCAGGAAGCACATTGGCTAAACCGTTAGTGAAAGAGTCACTGGGACTGACTACTATATATTCCATTGAGGGACAGTAACTTTAACATAGACCTTTCTGAACAGGCGAGGGCAACTTCTCCATCTATAATAAGAGATTAAAGCGACTTGAAACAATTCCTCCCTCCCTGGCACCTCCAGGCCCCCATGGGCAACCAGCCCGGATGGTTGCCCATGGGGGCCCGGGTCCCCCAGCTCCCCCCAATAGCTGCGCGCCTGGCTCAGAGTGTGTTGTTCCTTTAGCAAATGGTCTTTTTTTAGTCTGTTTATTCCAATTGATGATTAATTGATTAAGAAATAACTTGATGATTAATCCCATTAGTTGTTTCATTCTTAGTTTTCTGTATACTCCATTTAATGATTAATCGATTATTACTTGATTAATCCGATTAATCACTTAAGCATAGTGATGCTGTTTTTCTTCCACTTATTATTATGTATTACTCTACGTTGCTCCATCACAGATGATTCTGGATTATTTGGGTCAAGAGAGGAGATGGCACTAAAAACCCAGACGAATAATAACCAATAATCGATTAATCACGATTAATCGTTACAGCCCTACAGCACAGTGATGTGTAACCCAGTTTCAGACATGGAATCCCATCATCTTCATCATCCTTCCAGCTTCGTCTCTCGCTCACCGTTGCTCTGAGTGGCGGCGCCGGTCGTTAGGGAGACGGGGTGCTGAATGGCGGCGCTCAGGCCCGGGTAACCACGGTAACCGTAGCTGAGGCCGGCCCCGTTGATGTAGAGCTGGGAGTCCTGGGAGGGGAAGGCTGATGCAGCCAAGGAGTAGGCAGAGTGAGCGAGGGACACGGGGTCCCTCAGGGCGGCGCCGCCACCGCCGCCGGACGGCTTTTCCAGGGACACCTGCTCATCCTGGCAGAGGGAATTATGGGAAATATGGGAGTTTATTAATGAAAACAAAGCAGGATGCAGACAGAGAGTGGTCAACATCTGACCCGGTTCAGGTCCAAACACGGTGAAGTCACTACTGAAAGCAGGAAGACAGCTGAGCGCCACCTAGTGGCGGATAATACCTGCACTGGGTTTGATTACATTATATTTACACATTTTACTGTTTTAAAGGCCAGAAAGAGAATAATTATAACCGGGAAAATTAAATAGACAGTAAAAATGTTTACAGTCCGAAAAACCTTTAATAAAGACAAAAATAGGATAAACTGTGAAATAATTAACTTTATATTAACTAGAAACAATAAAAACCTTTTAATAATAACAGCAATAGTAATTATAATAATATTTAAAATATAAAATCACATATAATAAAATAAATAATTTCCCTTTGGGATCAAATTATTTTTGAATTAAATATAAATTAGAAACTATAAAACATTTTAATATAATTCCATTATTATCATTATTATTATTGGTAACGATGCACAGAAAATAGAAATTATTGGATTTTTTACTAATAATATTAAATTTGGAAAGTCATATAGAAGATTTAAAAATAAATAACTTTACAATAATTAGAAAATATTGAAACTATAATAATAATAATAATAATAATAATAATAATAAAAAGGTAAGAGGTATATAAAACAAAAAATAGGTTCTAAATAAAAATAATTTTAATAATAATAAAATAACTATAGTAAGTAGAAACATTTTCATTAATTATAAAATAAAAACAAAAATAGGACAAGATAAAATATTTTAAAATAAATTACTTTAAATCAAATAGAATCTATAGAATTTTAACCCTAAACCTTTTTATGGACAACTAAATAAAAACGTGTCCATTTGTGCTACTGAGTTACTTTTATTTAGAGAAATTTTTAGATTAACTCAGTTAATTTAGTTCAACAGGAACAAGTTTAGTTTTAGACAGCAGATATTTCTCTGTCTGATTGCTCTAATCCAGATTTGGTCTGATGGTTAACGACACTTTAATCCAGATTTGGTCTGATGGTTAACGACACTCTAATCCAGATTTGGTCTGATGGTTAACAACGCTCTAATCTAGATTTGGTCTGATGGTTAATGACGCTCTAATCCAGATTTGGTCTGATGGTTAACGACGCTCTAATCCAGATTTGGTCTGATTGTTAATGGCGCTCTAATCCAGATTTGGTCTAATGGTTAATGACGCTGTAATCCAGATTTATTCTGATTGATAATGACGCTCTAATCCAGATTCATTCTGATTGTTAATGACGCTCTAATCCAGATTTGGTCTGCTGGTTAGTGACGCTCTAATCGAGATTTGTTCTGATCGTTAATGACGCTGATGAATCTGGAGCGTTGCTTACGTGGAAAGCTTCGAGGCGCATCCTCTTGGCGGCGTTGCGGGATTCGCTCTCGCAGGCGGCGGCCAGGATGTTTTCCGCCATGGCCGAGGTCAGGTGAGGCGGAGTTGGGCGGGTCTGGAAGCAAAACGGTGTTAGAGAGACTTTTATGCACTAATTATGTCAGTTCTGTCCTGTTAAAGCAGAAAAATGTAAAACAGGTTTTATTTTCTGTCACTGGAAGCAGTGCTACATTCGACCACAGGGGGGCAGTAGAGACATTACAATTAAAGCCTCATCAGTTCAGGTTTATGGCGTTTTTACCCTTTAAATTACCTAAATGACCCTTAAATATGTATTTATTAAAAATAAATCAAAGTAATATAAAAAACTGACAAATAAATGAATGTATTTAAGTGTATCAAATAAATGTAGATTAATTAGTTAAATAAAACCTAGCATATAAAGCTTACTTGTTTTTGTTTTGTGAAATTTTAAAAACCATAATCTCATCATTGTTGTTTTTTGAGGTTTTAAAACAGGAAAAACATCAATCTTTTTTAGAATAAGCAAAGGAAAATATGTATTTTAATGAAATATTACATATTTACAATAAATAAGTAAATACTTAATGGTATTGCAGCTAAAAGACCAAAAAAAAAAAAAAAAAAAAAACCTGAGTAGTAAAACTGACATTCTTTGAATTTTTAAAACTTTTCTTATTTTCTCATTAGCACACCTCCATGCCGTTCTTCTTCATGCGTCGGCAGGATTTGAGGTAGGTGCGAATGCGCTTGCGGGCGCGTTCCTGGAATTCTGGGAATTGTCTGCTGCAAGACTCGATGATGGCTTGGATCTTCTCCTTGGGCTGCTTGGAGATCGGAACCATTCGGTCCAGGTTCTCATCCACAAACAGGCGAACAAACATCTGAAACACAGCATGGCTGCTGATAAAACGGAGTCACCTTTATCCCTGCTCAGGAAACTGACAGTACTCACATCTAATCTTATTTTTAAAACAAAAATGCAAAAACTAATATTATTGTGATTTATTTTTTAATTTTCCAAACTTAAACTCAGGTAAACATGTGTTAGCACCCTGATTAGTTGGTCTATGAGTGTTTATTACACATGCGCCTGTATTTAACATGGCATTTAGCGCCGCTAATTAAAATGCTAGCTGCGCTAACCCTAAACCACTAAACATAAATATTAGTTCCACCTACGCTGAATCAACATGCTATTTAGTGGAAGCTAACGCTAATACGCTAAATTCTAACATTTTGATACCCACTATGTAGCAAGGTAAAATTTGTGTTGAAAAGCTAATCTAGGGGAAACTAATTGTGCTAAATGTTTTGTGCTGATAAACTGGATTTTTATGAAATTTCTCTGATATTTTCTGACGTTTTTTTACCCTAAAAATTAGAAACTTTAGTTCAAACTGCTGGATTTCCTCCTGACTTACGTTGAAGGCCTTTAGTCTCTCAGGGTCGACGCCCTCCGTGTCGTTGATCTTGTCGTTGTCGTCATGGTCATCGTGGTCGTCGTCGTCATCGTCAGGGGCGACCTGGTTGCCGTGGCGCCCCATGGTGAGGTCTTCGGCGCTCAGCTCCGTCTTAATGCTGTCATAGCTTCCCCCCGAGCTGTACTGAGGGGACTGAACACAAACATTCGCTCTGAATCGACTGTTTCAACGTGTTTAGACTGAGGTTTGGTCATTTACTGTGAAACGTGTCTCAAGAGGTTCAGGAAACATGAATCCCTGATCTAAAGGTTTCAGCATATAGTCATGTTCAATTAGAATATTTGTTCTGATGAGGATTTTGTTTTTAGTGCATATCAATCTGTAACAGGTATGAAGAATATTTTTCATGAAGCCCATTTTTCTGTATTAAAATTTAATATTGGTCTGATGTAATATTTTAATCTTAAATGTTAAGTTAGCTGTGGGAGGAAAATCATCATAATCAGTGGTGGACACCACTAGCTAAATAGTTAGCTATGCTAACCTCAAAGCACTAATCATAAACATGAGTTCCACACACAAGCTAAAGTGCTACAACAACACGGTGTTTAATGTTAGCTACTGCTAACACTAAACCGCTATGGCAACACTTAACAGAAGCTAATGCTGAAGAGCTACATCAACATGGTATTTAGTGGAAGCTAATGCTAAAGCACAAATCACGCTAAATGTTTTCAAAGCTAGCAAAAGCGCTAGATGGAAAACTAGCTCCACTACTGGCACATTAGTGGAAGTGTGACCAGCACTGATCATAACTCAGAGAAATAAAGTCGTTAAAACATCAGTCTGTGCTTGAAAACTGTGATTTCAAACATTTATGTGATTAAATAATTTTTATCAAGTCGGTTTGGATTTTCCTTTAAAAAGAGAAATTATTCTACCTGACAGTTTTCCACCCAAGCAGCAGAAAGTGAAGCTTTGGAAAAGGTATAAATTAGCTTCACAGCTTGCAAACATTCACCGAGGTGTCAAGGCCGGTTGTCATGGAAACGGATGCTTTGCTCTTTTCCTGCTCCTAAAGTCGCAAAACAGCTTCCAGTCAAAATTACGTCCTGTTGTATTCAGACCTCTCCAGGCTTTTAATCCACCTGCCTGTTTCCATGTTTTATTTGTATTATTTTGTTTTGATGGATTTTTCCTATTTTTAATGTTAATTCAAGAAGCAAATGGAATAAAATCTTTACCGTCGAGTTTCTATGTTCAGAAATGCAAAAAACTAAATCTGGAAATAAAAATGAAACATTTTAGTTCAATTTAAAAATTCTACACAGAGTAAAAATCTAAATTATTCAAACCCGTACATTTATTTTCTTTATTATTGTGAGGCAAGCAAAAAAAAATAATAAAATATTAAAAATATATTTAAAAATACTGAACTAAATATCAAAATATGTTCTCACATACAGTAATGACTATAAAAACAGTAACAATAATGTCAAATAACGATAATTACACAGAATAAGTCAATGATCTGCAGACAAATAAACAGGTAACCACACAGTTAAAATCAGTTATTTTTAGTAAGATTTCTAACACAAATTGACACCAATGTCTCAAAAGTAAAAAAAAAAGAAAAAAAAGCATTAACTTGAAATATTTTGTCTATTTTCAAGAAAAAACATAAAAAATTGTTTTCCAGGCACATAGCAGCCATTTTATAGCATAATCAAGTCACTGTGTTCCCTTCAGTTCTTAGAAAATGCCAAATATATAAAATATAACTTTAAAGAAATTTGACTTTGTAGTTTAAAACCTTGAAATTGGGGGCCTGTCTCTTTAAGAAGCTCCTGCTCTTTCTGAAGTCATCCCAACATGGCTCCTCTAACCCTTTAATGCAGGGGTCCCCAAACTTTTTCCTGTGAGGGCCAAATAACTTTTCCCTTCTCTGTTGGGGGGCCGGAGATTTTTGACGGGGGGGGGGGGGAGGGGCGTGCGTTTCTCGATTCATTTTTACCCAGAAAGCACATGGGCAAAAACCATGAGTGAAACGGTCACTGGGACTGACTAGTATATATTCCATTGAGGGAATTTAACTATAATATATTAATTTCTCATATGTTAACATAAAGGCTCGTTTTGAAGTATAAACTGCTACTTACAGGCATTGCTTCGAAGAATTCAACCTGGAATGCGGCGTTCATACACGTGTGTTCATCTGCTCTACCGCTAGCAAACAACCGTACTGATTAAATAACATAAAAGTCAAGCAGTTCCCTAAAAGTCCAACAGATGGCAGCAATGCGCCCCACAATTTACAGGACACACTTCCTGCTAAAGAGCCCCCTGGTGGTTGAAGAAAAATCCACATATAAACCGGAAAATACAATAAATGAAAAAAAATCTGAATGCTCTCTGGTATTGTTCAGGGGGCCGGACCAAATGTGGAGGCGGGCCAGATCCGGCCCGCGGGCCGTAGTTTGGGGACCCCTGCTTTAATGTTTTAACCAGCTTCTTGCTGAACAGTAACTCTGATAATGAGCTCAGCCATTCTACCAGGTGTTTGCTAATTGCTGCTGGCTAGTCTGAAGGAGCTGAGTGCGGGAGGAGCTGCGCCTTGAAGGCGGGGCTAGGTCCACCCAGGCCTTTTTCGCAGCTGAATGGTTGCCATGGAGATTTCAGGATTTCTCAAACATGCATAAAAGAATCAAAGAAAACTCCAGGTTTGTTTTATAACACGATGTAAAGCTAAAAAAAGTTGATTTTATAAAATATTTTCTCTTTAAACTCTAGTCTGGGGCCGTAAAAAAAATCAGTTCAGGTGCAACAAACGGCCCACGGGCCACACGTTGAACCCCCTGATATATACTGAATGTAAAGTTTTAATCTGTCAGCGAATTAAAAAGCCAGGAGAAAAACAGAGCGACACTAGAAGTGAAGTTAATGCAGCGAAACGTGTTGTTGCTCCGTAATGGCGGCCGGCTCGTTTGTTTCCGAGTCTAAATGTGAGAAACGTGAAGCCGCCGCGGCGCTGCGTCCGAACCGCTGGCGGTCCAGGAGAAACACGGCGCCTCCAAGGCCGGAGTTCATCGTTCGGCTTTCAGCTGCAGCACAAAGACGAGAAGCTCCTGCTTTTTATTTCTCTGGGATAATTTGGGGTTTTAATACAGAACGAGGCAACGTGGGTGTCCTTATTAATTAACCAGCTAAAAGCTCACGCTCCCACAGATTACTGCTTTTTCCAGAGTCTGAATAACAGGAGAAAATTACTTTCTTTCAAAGAGATTCTCTTCTGTTCGCCGCAGAGAGCAAAAAAAAGAAGTTAAATTATATAAAAACAGAAAAAAATCGGACTTTTACTTTATTTTTATGCTTTTGTATTGCAACGTCTGTTTTTTCTTAGAAAAAGCTGCAGTTGCTACAAACTGCTGTATTTTTCAGTAAGAATAAATACTGTGAAAACTATTAGAGATTTTCCAACCATTTAATCTCCAAAAAACAGTAACAAGATGGAAATAAAATGTTAGCTCAGTTTTTGTATTTATTTTTAATATTATATATAAAAAAAAGGCTTAAATGGCTAAATGAAAAATCTGCAGAATGTGTCGATTTTTAGAAATTCATCTGAATAATCAATAATTGAAATAATCTTTATCTTAGATTAGAAATCTTTGAAAAGGGAAAAAGATTAGGGTAATGGTTTGGAGGCTTTCCAACCTCAAATATTTAAATTTCATCGAAAAGAAAAAATCAAAACACCAGTGGGAAAAAGCTGCTCAGGAATTACTAGTTATCATTATTATTAATTAGTCAATGATCTGCAGACTAACAGGTAAGAGGATTAGGGCCACTGATTTTTATGTTTTTATTCTGACTGTAATCTCCTGAGGAAAAAAAGTCACAATTTTGATAATCTCAGAAAGCTGAGATAAAGCAACGAGTCACTGCTTTTGTAGATAAGTCAGAGGTACGGAGCTAAACTGAGGCCATAAAGTTTGTTCTAAAGAAAAAAAAGTTTGAACAAAGATTTGTAAGTGAATTTTTTTTGCAGCTCCATGTAAATAGTTTAGTTTCTTCGTTCAGCACTAACTCCTCCCCAGCAGATCAGGTTTGTGGTCTCACCTTGTTGCCGTAGTCCCGGCCGTCCCGGTCCAGTCGCAGCTCGGTGGCGTGTGTCGGTGTGTGTGTGCTGTGTGCGTGCGGCAGCGGCAGCGCCGAATGTGGCGGTTTGGCGGCCAGAGGGTACTTCCTGCGCAGCTCCTCGGGCGCGTTGGGGTGCAGCGCGCCGAGCAGCGCGGCGGCTGCGGCCGACACGGTGATGGGAAGGTGTGAGGTAGGCAGCGGCAGGCGCTCGCTCAGGTTCCCCGCCTGCTGGTCCTCCGATGACGAGGAAGAAGAGGTCGGCCTGCTGAAGTCCAGTGGCGCCGAGCCGCCGCCGCCGTTGACGACCTCAGTTTCCCTGACGATGGTGCCGTCCGTCACAGCAGAGGAGGGTGGAGTCAGGGCAGGTAGGCCGTTACCGCTGCCGCTTTCTGACGACGAATCATCTGAAGGGGGAAACAGAGACAGAAATTCAACTTAGAGGAGAAAAAGAAACAACGGAAAACTCTCCAACCGCATCTTAGAGGTATTTTCACACCTGGAGGTCCGGCAGACTCGGTTCGACTGGCAACCAAAATCACAACATCTGCTGCTGTGGTTCCCATTACACAAGATAAAGAACTTCCCAAAATCTAAATGTCCATCAGAAAAAGGGCAGCTAACATCTCTGCAGACCCCACACATGCTGGACATCAGTTCCAGTTCCAATAATGTATGGATGAGAAGCAACTTTCTCCAGCTGAACAGAAACAAAACTGAAGTTATTATCTTTAAACCTAAAGAGAAACGATCCAGAGTCAACGCACAGCTTCAGTTATTACAGCTGGAAACTAGAAATCAGGCCCGAAACCTGGATCTGGACCTTCAGATTCACATAAAGACGGTTACAAAGTCGGCCTTCTATCACCTGAAGAACATTTCCAAGATTAGAGCAACTGTGTCTGATCCAGAACGCTGCTGCTGGAGTTCTGACTAAAACCAGGAAGACAGAGACACCACCGGGTTCTACATCACCCAGTTCTAGATCATCCAGTTCTACATCACCCGGTTCTACATCATCCGGTTCTACACCACCAAGTTCTACACCACCAAGTTCTACATCACCCGGTTCTAGATCATCCGGTTCTACATCATCCGGTTCTACAGTCCTTCCCTGAGGGAACAGACTGCCTACCAAGATGGCTGTCAGTTACAAAGATCAGAGAAGTATGACGTCACATGAAACTTCCTTATGTTGGAGATTAATTAGATTAAAAGTCTTATTCTTCCTCCACTGCTTCTGTGTTTTAGCTTTGTGAAATAAATTGGTTTTGTTTATTAGTGAAGGGAAGTAAGAAAGGTACAGAGGCAGAAGAAAAGAGGTCAGCAGAAGGGTGGAAGGAGGAGGAGCAGGATGAAGAGGATGGGGGTCATGGCTGGCGGGTCGGAGGCAGGAGGATGAAGAGGATGAAGGGGGGAAGGGAGCAGAGAACCTGAACGACATGGGGGAGATTCAGCATCTTCATCCTGCTCATCATGCGGTGCGGACCGGCATATTTACGATTATTACGTATTTATCTGAAGCCTGGCTCTGAGGGAGAAGCGGCGTTTAAGAAACGGGGCCGGTCTGATTCCTGCTAAGTTGATTCAAACGTCCCCTCAGGACTTAGACCGCAGCAGGAGGGATTCTGTGCTGCGGCTGCGTCTATGCGGTGCGTTTCTGGACGGGGTGTGGCGCTTCCTCTCCTTTCACTTTCTGTAAGCCATCAACCTTCAGCGACCCTGCCTGTCCGCGCTCTGCTTCTCTCTGACCTCCGACGCCAAAGCAATCCCACGTCTCTTTGTGGCTCAGAAAGCAGAACATCCCGCCTCTCGCCGAGCCACAGGAAAATATGTGAAGCAATTATGGATAAACAATGTAGGTTGGTGTGTTATTAGTTGGCTTTTCTTCATGTTACCTTGGCCTCTTCGCTCAGATATCAGCAGATAAAACGTGAATCAGCTGAACGCGCTGGAAGCCTTTTCCTCTCTGGTGTAAGAGTAACAGCAAACAGCTGATCTGCAGCAGGAAACACTCGAAAACCAGCTATTTTCTAAGGACTGAAGTAAAAATAAACACAAACGTAAAAAAATACAAAAACAAACATTTCACAGATTCTATTTTATTGCCACAAGGAGAAGGGGAAATATAAGATTTAAAAATAAGTTACATCGATTAAATGTTTTACTTTTAAGTCCATCAGGAGTTTGAAGTATTGTGAATTTTAAGGTGACGTTGGACAGGTGGACTCGGGTGGATTCAGGTGGACTCGGGTAGACTCGGGTGGATTCGGGTGGACTCGGGTGGATTCGGGTGGATTCAGGTGGAGTCGGGTAGACTCGGGTGGATTCAGGTGGACTCGGGTGGATTCGGGTGGATTCAGGTGGAGTCGGGTGGACTCGGGTGTTCAGACTGACCCAGAGCTGACCTTTCACTGGGCCGGCGCTGTGCCTCAGGGTGTTTCGGTGCAGGTGGCAGCTGTCAGCGTTTACAGACCAGCGTTGGGCCGACCCGTCGTAAATAACGAACGCCAGGCTCTCCTCAATTACTCCAATGTTGCTCCGTCACTCAGATGAGGGGTGAGAAAAACCCAGTGGTAGTAAAATGATCTTCGTTTAAGACTCTGGCGATGTCTCAGAGGAGGAAGAGGAGATGGAAATAAAAGCAGTCTTCATCACCTTGTAAAATTTGTTTTGAGTAATACCTTCTCAATATATTAAAATATAAGTAAAAATTAAATGTTATTGTGAAGCCAGTGCAGAAATAAAACAATTGGTGGCTTCTGATTGAATTTCCAGTCAAGTTTGGAACATTTATTTTGATATTAAAAAGATTTACTAAATAATTAAGATTAGTTAGATTAAGTTAATAAATAAGTTAGTTTATTAACTTATTAATAAATTAGATAATTAATTTATTAAAATTAAGTTGATAGACATATAAAAAAGTAAAATTTTCAATTCAAAACTAACTGCTAAATTATTTGAAATAAACATACGAATTCAACAACAAAATGGCTGGATATAAGTGCTTCATATCAGTCAATATTGATAATTATTGATTATTTTTCTGTGTTAAATATCTGAAATATTACCAAACTGGTTGCGTTACCTTTCCTGTTTTATCCAGTTTTCACTCCACGATGACGTTTTTTTTTTACTTTTAAGCAGTTATGAAGCACGATGGGAGATCTTGAAACTGCTGGTACTCCAGTTACTCAGCAGGTTGTTGCTAGGCAACCGAAGTTTGGGGGAACTTGAAACTGCTTCTTACCCAGCAGGTTGTTGCTAGGCAACCAAAGAGTGAGTGAGTTAGTTGATTCCACTCACTTTACTCAGTTAGCTGAGCGGTTGAGCGGCTATAAGGTCTTTTTTCTGCCTTCATGTTCCAGAATGCTGTGTGGTTCTGGATCAGTTATGGATATATTATCTATTATATTACCTATTGATATTATCAGAATATTTTTTGTTGATTTATTGTCCAGCCCTGTGGACAGTTAGAGGAAAATGGAGGACAGATAAATCTGAGCAGATCATAGAGCTGCAGAAGAAGTGGAGGAAATGAAAGGAAAGAAAGAATCCAAACAGACTCAATGGCAGGGAAGATGTGTGAGGAAAAGAAGAAAGAAGAGGGAAAAGAGATTCAGAAAGTGTCAGGGAGTGTGAAAATGAGCGGTTCAGGGACGGATGGAGGTGTGGGAGCGCTAATGGCTCATCCTTCGTCGTATTTCATCCGAAGCTCTGCTATCTGGAGGCAGTTAGAGGCTTTTCCCCTCCCTGGAGCTAACCTGAGCTAACCGTAGGATATGCTAACTCCTTCACCCCCTGTGTGAGAGCAGGTAGCTCGGTGGCAATGACCACTGATTATGTTGATGGGACACGGCGGACGCTCTTCCTGACTCGCCGCCACACCCAGCGAAAATTTGAGTTTTTCCTGGCATCGTCATAGCAACCCCTCCGACACCCCTCACAGTGAGCGTGTTACCCCTCCTCCTCCCGACGGCGACAGCGAACCCCTGTCTGACAGGACCAGCTGGCACCAACAGAACCAGACACAGCCGGGTCTATGGATGTCCAACAGTCACACACTGATGTTTGGTTTGTTCATTATCCAGAAAACAGGAGGAGGAATCGCCTCGCAAAGCAACAACTGAACCTGAGGATGTTTTCACCTCCGGTAGTCTGGTAGATTCAGTTCAAAGTTGCATCATTGATTTCATTTTCTGAGTCAAACCAACCAAACCCTTTGAGCAACCTGTTCCCCTCCTCACCTGTGGGGGCGCTGCACCAAAAACCACTGAAGAAAATGACATGAACACCTCAGACGAAGACACTGAGCACGACTTCCTTCCCAACAAAATGTTAACCAAAATGGAATGGCATCGGATTTTAGCGGTTGAAGGATTTCTCTTCTGTCGGTGAAAGACGACAAGCTATTTTTCCCGCTAGCGCTACGCTATAACGCATTTTGTTTTGGTTGCATTTACCCAGAATTCCCTCTGCTGTAGTCCACTTTCTGCTTTTGGAGCGGTCTGTGGTCCGCTTGTCTTTCATATTCAACCCGCACCAGAGTTCACTTCAACCAAACTGAGACCGAGGTCTGTAGGACCACAGATGGTCTAGTTACGCCTAGCGCTAGTGGGAGAAAAAACCCAAATAAATCAGCCAAGACATTCTGAAGATGGTTGAAGCTGCAACATTCATCTAGTGTTAACAGTTTGGGAACTGAACAGCCATCATGTTCAGCTGGGAGACTGAACATGATTTTCTAGCAACTCCAAAACAAAAGCTAAAAAACTGGTGAAGATGATGCTGAAGTGACTCATTATCCACCATGATGTCAGTAAAACTGGTTCCTGTTTCTGTTGCAGTTTTTATAAAAATATCAGAATTAATTCCAATATCCCATTGGGCTTGGAATTTGACTTTTTCTAAATTCAGATTCAATATGGAAATTAAGAGCATTAATTGTATAAAAATTGAAGGACAATTTTCTGTGACAAGTTAATAAAACATGTCTGAAAGATGGGAGGTCAAGAAAATCTGAGAACAAACATGGCCTCTGTAGGTTTTGTGTGCGTGTGTGTGTGTGTGTGTGGGACAGGACTTGTTCAGTGTCAGGGGGTGTGTTGGGTAGAAGGTCAAATAGGAAGATGGTACAGTCAACAAAGACGCTGCTGTCACAGACTGCCACTGCCTGCTCACCCTAAACCCCCCACACACACTTATTCAAATTAGCCCTCATCTCAGTAAGCTTTGTTCCCAAGACAACACTTCCCTGTAGGAAGCGTGCACACACACACACACACACACACACGCACACACACACGCACACGCACACACACGCTGAATGTTTGGGCCCATCGACTCAAAGCCAAACTAAACCCTAGTTTTGGTCCGAGCGTTGAAGGAATCCTCAATTAGCAACAACAGACTTTATTTGAGAAACATTTATTACAGATGAAACAACACAGTAAAATTACTATCGGTTTTTGAGTTTTTATCAAGTTAAATAAAAATAGGTAGCCATGTTGCGCTGCAATGCATCCAGGGTAAATGGTACATACGAGGTGCTAACAGCGCTAGCTCTGGTCAGAACAGTAATTTTGCGCAATTAGAAACATTCAGCCTTTCAGTTTGAACCAGAAAATGTTGAAAAAAAATAAGGATTATGCAAAAATGAGGATGAGGAAGACGAAACAAACGAAGAGCAGTCGATGTTTGTGGTGTTGTTGCAAGAGAGCTTCAGTTTCCAGTTCGCAAAACATTTTCACAAATATGTCAGAAAGTTGTTTTACAAAGACTTAAAGATGCTTCATTTTCTTCCAATTTGTTTTGATTTGGTATGAACTCCTGCTAATGGAATCTAGCTCGTATCGTAAACAGTGGATCATAAGTCAATCACGTTTGTTTGCTTCAACAGATATCTCAAGTATCACGGGACTGCATTTGCTGTTGGTGAAAATAGTAATGAAATAAATAAAAATTTTTAAGTAATTGGGTTTTTTACAGTTATGTCATTTTCTCTTTTATATCGGACAATTAATTTAATTAACTGCAGCTGTAGGAGTCATACTTTGCAATATACTATGAAACATTTCATCCAGTTTGATGACTGTTATCAATATCGTGACGTTTCATGAACGAACGAGGCAACTTGTCCAGTTTTTCCCGTTTATTCAACTTTCAGAAATTACAGTGGCTGTGTTGCGCTACAACCAGAGGCAAAATAACATGAAAAAAACAGGTGAAAAAAACTCAAAACGACTCATATTCTGCTTTTTTAGCACTATCTACATGGACTTTACGTGATGCTCATAACCGTTGCCATGGCAACCAACTCGCAACATCTCCACTAGCCAACAGGCCAGAGATTACATTCATCATCAGGAACATCAACATCAAAACACTCGCAAATGTTTCCACACAAAGAACAGAACATTCGGTCCTTTACGGTTTTCATGTTTTCAGGGTTGATGTTGATTTATTGATTATTAATAGGTGATTGCCTGAACACAGTGGAGGTTGATTAAATAATTTAAACCCCTACTCTGATCTATTGACTATCCTTTTTTTAAGTGAATCGAAACACAGCGAATTCCACAGAACATCTAAATGTTAAGGTTGTCAAAGTCAAGCTAGCATAACTGAGCTACTTCCCTCTTCTTTGCCAGTTTAAAACAAAAACATTAAACCTTTTGAAATGTGACAGCTTGCATCTTTTTATCTAGTTGTCGTAGAGTTGACCACAACAAATCAGTGCATCTCTTTTTTATATTCTTTCCGTGATTATGTCATTTTCCAGACATTTAGCAATCACACACACGGTAGTCACGTATATAAATAATATATATATATATATAAATGGTTACATTAATATTCCCAATATTTGGAGTCCAAGCAGCTGGATCGCTTCAAAGTAGTTTATCATCTAATTTTTGTCAGGATATAAATTCAGGATGATTGTTGGATTATCCAAAGTTTTGGATGACAAATGACAGAATAACCTGAACTAATAACTGAAACCCAGTGAGGGTTAGGGTTAGCCGAGGCTTCGGACCAGACGGGAATTCCTGCATCGTTTCTTAAGAGTTTAATAATTTATTTATTTTTCACTGTTGAGGAGTTGAGTCATGCTTTAATTCAGAGATAACAGAGCAATGCAGTCAGTCAACGAGCTAATAGGAAGGGACGAGCACAACGCTAGCGTCATGATGCCAACGGGACAACAACACACACACACACACACACACACACACACACACACACACACACACACACACACACACACACTCATCTGTCATTTACAGTTTCGTCTCACGCCACACTCTCTGGCTCTTAGCGTTAATGTTTCTCCCTCACACTCCATCTCACTCTGCCCTTTCACCCACATCTTTTCCTGATTTCCTGCTGTCCATCATGTTCAGGAGCGCCTCGGCAGGCGGACTGACACACCAAGCTGCTGCTCGACGCTCCCATGGAGAAACAAAAGTTAAATCTGCAAGACGAAGAAGGTAGAGGTCTAAACATTTCGAATTTCTTTCAAAAACTACAGAAAAAAACACTCCAGAAGAAACACTCATGCTAATCTGCTAATAGTGCTAATTAGCGCTTTAGAATTTTGTGAACTTTGAAAATGTTTAGCTCTCTTAGCTTCGTTTTTTCTATTAAATCCTGAAGCGCTAATTTTCCTGACTATTTTGAAAACTTTCAGTGATAAAGTTTGACCTCTGTGATGTAGATTTGATTGTCAACTTTTAAGTTGTTCAAGTAGTTAAATGTTAATATTCATGCTCTTATTTTGAAGTCACCATCCATGATGCAGTGTGTCCTGTTGAGGGCGCTCTAGTGTTAGCTTCTGCTTAATACTGTGTTGGTGTAGCGCTTTATTGTTAGCGAGTCTAATGTTTATGATTAGCGCAACTAGCTTTTTAGCTACAATGACCACCACTGGTAAAATGCTAAAAGCAACAAGTAACACAAAATCTAATAAGGTCCTTAGCTCCATTGCATTACTCTTCAGTGGAACATCTGCTTTTCTGCAGGTTTCACAGATAACTAATATTCAGAATGCAAAAATGAACTGCAGCTGTTTAATATGTCCAACCAATTTTTGTATTTCTGCAATAAAAAACAAAAATCCGCTGATTGTTGCTTAAAAAGTGAACCCTTGCGACAGCTCAGTACATCAGTACATAAATTAATATGTAATACGCAGAAATATCAAAAATAGGCTTAAATACGCAGATTTAGAAAGTATCAAGTAGTTTTTAAAGAAAAGTGAAATCCAAGACATGATGCGATTTAACAGGTGAGTAAATAAAAAAGCTCATTGAACAGTTTGGTACAGAACCTCATCAGCCTGGCTGAAATATTTCACGGCCGCATCTTTCCCCAAAGCTGCAGTGACAGACACATTATGTCAGTCATTATAAGCAGCAGAGTTAATCCTGCTGATCGCAATTTGAAGCTGAACAGATCAATCTCCAATTTAATGAGACATAATCCCCCGTCACTCATAGAAACTGAAACCGACTCAAACAGCGGCTGAAAGCAATTCAATGAAACACCCAAATATTAAAAAACTCATTACATATGTAACTTTGGAAACATCCTTTGGAAACCTAATGTTGCGTTACAAGAATAAAACAACAAAAAGAAGCAGAAAACAGTACTCTGTACTATTTTTTACAGAGTAAACAAAGTACAAAGTTAATTTATTTTTATGCTTTGAATTGTGTTAATACCACGACGCTTAAGTTGTTAGTGGTGTGCCAAAAAATGAATTCACCTAAGAATCCTGATCATCATCTAGAACAATTCAAGATTTATAGAAAAAAACCCCCTCCAAAATCGATATAGAAAAATAAAATAAAACAAATCCGCTGTCTGTGTGCGTCCATTTTGTGACTAAAAGGAACTTCCTGACATCATCACGGAGACATTCTAACGTTGCCATGGAGAAATTCTAATGTCGTCATGGAGACATTCTGACGTCGCCACGGAGACATTCTGACGTCGCCACGGAGACATTCTGACGTCGCCACGGAGACATTCTGACGTCGCCACGGAGACATTCTGGCGTCGCCACGGAGACATTCTGACGTCGCCACGGAGACATTCTGACGTCGCCATGGAGACGGCGCTGGAAGTAATCTAAACATTTCTTAGATTTTTTTGCAAGCAAATTTTCAACTTTTCAAATTTTAAAAAGTCAAAAATTTTCTGAGTTTTGAAACGTAGAAATTTCCTTTTTGTTTCTAGAAAATGTTGGGGATTCATTTCAAAATTTCTGAGTTTTTTCTGCCAAATTTTGATTTTTAGAGTTTTGACACTCAGAACTTTCCAAGATTTTTTCTAGAGTTATGTTGTCGGAAATTTACTCTTCGTTTTCATTTTTCTTTCCGCCTACAATGACCCAAATATTGCATCATACAAAACAAAACAGCATAAAGTGAATTTTTCACCAACACACTTCTCTTTCTTGTTCTGGGATTCAGACGCCATGTTTAATTTACTTATCAACTGCTTCTGCTTACGAATGACCCGTGGCGCCCTCTGCTGGATGGAGGTCAAACTACAATATGAAAAGAACATTATTAATCGAATGGAACAAATTTAAACCTAACAAACAGTAATTTGATCATCATTTTGCTAATGATAAAATATTCCCACTCCTAGTAAATGTTACGAACTAGTGAGAGAATCCGTTTCAGATTTACAGTTTTAGAGGAAGAGAGCAGAGAGGAACCCAGTGTTTACTGAAGGAGGAACCAGAGATGAGAGCCAGAGGAAGAAGCGGGACAAAAGAAACCAAAACGTGAGTGAGGATGAGGAGGGGGAAGGTTGGAGCGCTGCATGCAGTGATGCAGAGGGGGCAGGGCTCAGTGGGTGTAGCTTTCCCTGCTAAAAGCCTTGACTCATTGTTGTGCACTGTACTCATCAGATAACATTATGTCAGATCCATCAGAGTTTCTGCAGAAGACGAGTGTTAATGCATGAGTATCACATCACTGACCCAAACTGAATGCATCTTTCTACTTTTATTATGGCTCTGCAACAAAAAATTGCATTATTTAATATATTTAAATGAATTAGATCAACTCTGAATGAACGCTTAGCTGAGCAGCGGTGAGAGAAGCCAGCTCATGCAGAATGAGGGTAATTTTTAGGGGCTTTTTGGACATATTTAGGGTGGGAGGAATCACATGATGTCTCACAAGAGCATAAAGACACTCCTTCTTCCTGCAGTCGTCCAATTTTTTATGCTCCTCTTGTTCCCCCTCTGCCTTCTGGCTCTGCTTCGCTTCTCCAGCCACTTATCTACTTTCCTTCATTTCATTCTGGAGTATTTTCCCTCAGACTCTGATATTTTCTCCCTGTGCCTTTTGGACAGAGCAGGTTAGCATCTGGTATTTTCCTGTGTGATTGCAGTGAAGGCGTGTCAGAGCCGATATCATGTCGATCTGATTCTCTCATGATCGCCTTGACTTCCTGTTGGTCGTCTGCGAGTCGCTGAAGTGAGCTAAGCTGCTCATCGCAGTCCAGAGGCGGTAATGGTCAGCATTGGCCTTGTGACCTACTTTGCACACACTGCAGGGGACGGAGCGGTGTGTGTGGTTTTCACAGGGATATTCAGATAAAGTGCCATCTGTTCTGCACATCTCACTGACTTGGAGAAGAGATGCTGATGTAAAAGTAGTGAAACACAAAAACTCCCCCCCCCCCCCAAAACCCCCCCCCCCAAAAAAACCAGACAAAACAATATGCAGCTTAATCAGTAATCCTAATAACCAATGGCGGGCACTGCTAGCTAAAGAGTTAGCCGTGCTAACCCTAAAGAAATATGCATAAACATTAACGATTAACGTTAAAGCACTACACCAGTATAGCATTTAATGGAAGCTAAGGCTAAAGCGCTACAAGTGACTTCATTTTAAATTATATCTGCCCTTTAAAGACTACAGCCTTCCAGTACTAATTAAATTTTACTTTATAGTTTTCAAGTTCTATAATATCTTCAGATAACGTATTTATATTTATATATTGTTCTCTACTGTCCACGTTTTATTTGTTCCTGTATGTTTCTTGTCTGAAATGAAGTTATTGGTAAAATGTAGACAGGAAACAGAACTGTTATGAAAACAGACTTCAAAATAAGATCCTGAATATAAACATACAAACTACTTACTTCTTAACAGTCGATAACCAAAACTTCAACACAGATGTTTAATTTTTGTCAGCTGCAAGTTTACAAAACAGCCATGTTAGCATTTGAAATTTATCAGAAAAAATAAATTTAGTGGAAGCTAAGTGCGCTAAACAAATTTAGCTAAACTGCTAAAAAACTCATTACATATGTAACGTTGGAAACATCCTTTGGAAACTTGATTTAGATTTATCTCTAAATCAGCTACATTATCAACAGATTAGCATGAGTGTGTCCTCCAGTGCTTGTGATGCATAACATGATGCGTAGCCATGGCAATGAGGTTTTTTTTAGTTAAACTAGCGCTATGCTAACTCACTTTGAGGGGATCCTGGTGCGTTTCCTGCTGACCTTCAGTTTTCTCCAACATTCCCCTCAGATTGCTGTCGTTCAGCCTCCTTGCTGTTTTCATGTCTCAGATCTGAGATTTTCCCTCCAACCTGCAGCTGTTTTCTCTCTTCAACTCGTCAGATTTCCTGAATTAAACTCCAGAAACAATCCCAGCTGACGCTACCAGATATTCAGCTTGATTCATAAAACTGACGAAACCACATCGTCCTAAATAAACTATGATGATTAAACAAAACACAACAGAGGTTAACAGATTGAAAACTCCCATTAAAATGAAGCAAACATCATCGTGCTTTGAAACGGTGTGAATATTTCAGTAACTGAGGAACGTAAATAATTTCAGGTTTAACGCCTGCGGATAAAACAAGTGAATTTTCCTAAGGCAGGATGTGCGTCAACTGCAAATATCCCTCATAAAGACAGTGATACTTTCTATTTACTCAGAGCTAAAGATATTTAAGTTCTTATTTAATTTAAAAACAAGCAAGCAAATTGTTGTCTCCATGTTAAAATTCACATACATTTGAGCTGGACGGCTTTCCATATCTCTCCCTGTCATTTTTCCTCCCAACGGTTGGGAGAAAAAACCCGAGTCAGTTGGTTGTTTAACAGTAAATTATTTTTCTGCTGAGTATCCATTAATCAATTGGTGTTTACATAAACACAATACTTTGACTTTTTTGAATTTGGCACCGATAAACCAACAAAAGTATGAAAAAATGAAAACTACTATAATGTTGATGATCGCCAACGCCACGGCTGAGTTATGAACGCATCTCATATCTATCCGTCGCTGCCATGATTTTTAATAACTTATCATTAAACTACCTCATTTGATTTTATTTAATTTCTTATTTAAACACCGCCATCGCAAAATTGTGTCTTTTTTCCACATTAGAAGTCTATAGACAGAGATTTGTAATGGAAATGCAGCTAATAGGAGCAGAACCAGAGGCTGAAACATGGAGAATAACTTTCAGTTTCTGCTGGTTTTCCTCTTCCAGCATCCATTCATCTCAGCTCCTCTTCCTCACACCTTTCTCCCCCACCTCTCACTTTGCTCCTTCCCGTCCATCTCAGCCCCTCGCTGCACCGCCTGTGTGTGTGTGTGTGTGTGTGTGTTTTATCTCTCGCGGCTCCGTCTGCGGCCTTGAGAGGTGAAAGATAATGCCGGCAGCCCCTCCCTGCCAGCCTCCCACTCACACAGACTGCTTGAGGAGCACAAAGACCCAGACTATGGAGCGGCTCTCTCCCTCGACCTCGCTCCATGCACCACTCCTACACACACACGCGCATTTGCATAAAACCCAACTCTGCTGGAGCACACACACACTCTCCCTCTCAATGTCAGCTCTGATTTATGATGCGGCGGCACCTCTGCATCATCTGAATCTGGATCCGAGTCCAGAACCAGCAGCTAGCTAACAGCTAACTAGATTTACAACAACAAACTATTTGACACGTGGGCCAAAATTGTGGAGTCGGAAGTAGTCAAGGACCAAAAAAGAAAATAGGACCAAAGTGCGGTGCGAGGGCCATCAGTGGCCCCTGGGCTGATTTGTGTGACCCAAAACTGCAACTCAAAAATGGTCCAGATTTGACCCACAGATAGAGGCAAAAGGTAAAATCCTGTTTATTCAGAGACTTTTCCTGAAATGATGGATCCAAATCTGCTGTTTTATTAAGTTTGGCTAAATATAGAAACGTTTAGGAAGATTAAAATCCTGTTCTTATTGCTGATAATAAATTTTTCAATCAAGTTCAAACTAGAAAACTGGATGCTTTTCTATGACGGCACATTAGGATCAATGTAGATAAATAGAAATAAATTTCTACCAAAAACGCTGAAATTTCTGAGTTTCAAAAGTTGGCAGTTTTTGGCTTAAAATTCCAAAAATCGAAAATGTTTGAGAATCTTTCTAATTGATGAATATCAATTTCTGATTTTTTTGGTGGAAATTTACATTTTCTCTATTTACTTATTATTTTATCTACAATGGTCGTAACACCATTGTACACCAATCTCAAAAGAGATTTTCAAAACTCAAAATCTCTTGAGTTTTGAACTACATTAAATACCCATTTTGGAAACTTTTTGTCACGATGGCCACGATTGTCAAAAGTAGTCCCAGGCCAAAAAAAACAAAAAACAAAACTAAAATCATTGTAAGTAAAAAAAATATAAAACAACAAAAAAGTAAATTTCCACCAAAGAAATTTGAGATTAACCTCAGATATAAAAAATATTGGAAACTTTCAACTTTTGGAATTTTTCTAAGCTTAAAAAGTCAAAAATGTTCAACATTTGAAACTCAGAAATGTTTCAAATTTATAAATCCACTGGAATTATAAATGTAATATACTTTGGGGTCCAAGGACTGAGCCCTGCGGTACTCCGGATGTGACTTCTGTTCACTCCAATGAGAAGTTGAAACAAAAAATCCCCGTTCTTTATGTAAGACTGGAACCAGTTCAGCTTTTCCAGTCATTCTGCTGGCGAACGAACAGTTCAGACTGGAGAATCAGTCCAGAGATCTGATGTCATCTCAGCGGTATCCGGGACGTTTCTACATTAATTTCAAATTAAAGGACATTGATCAGAGTATCAACCTGCAGGAAACTATACACTTTACCTGAACATGAATAATTACACGTCATTTTCATCTAGAGGAGAGGAGGAGGAAGGAAAGGTTTCCTTGACAACCATATGAAGGGAATTGAGAACATTCTGCAGAACAAAGAGGGACATTATACATCGTATATTTCAGGCTCTTAAGTAAATACTAATGGCCGCAAGACATTTGACTCTCGTGGTGTTGGACTAATATCGGCTGCTCATGTGGTAAAAAACACATTTTCCACCTTTGAACTGAAACGTTCTGAATAAGAACAAAAACAGCAAATAAAGATAAAAAACAGGCTCTTTTTTGCTTTTGTTTGTTTTTTAGCAACAGATGTGTTGAGTTTAGCAGAAAGGATCGCAGCTTCATTTACATCCGCCCACACACGAGCAATAAACTCTTCAGCCTTAAAACAATAATTTGTCAAACCTCGTTGAAAAACCCAACAGTCTGTAGAAACTACAGGTTTACAAAAGATTTCTCACATTAAAAGTGAGGAAGACACAGAAAAACTTCCCAGATTTGACCCATGCCCACTTTTAACACCTTACTGTTAGTTTGCTGCAGGGTGACAGAGTTTTTACTCCCCTTATAATAAATAGTTAATAGATGTGTTATTAATTAATATCTAAGACTTTCATTAATAACTGTGAGAAGGCAACTAAATCTACTGGATTCTTGCCAAATAATGAGCCAAATCTGTTCACCTATGTATTTTATCTAGGGTTTACTTACCTAATGCATAATAAACAGTTATTAATGATTTATAAAGTGTTTATAGATTAACTGATAACATAATTATGCATCAGCCGTCTATAAGGGGAGCCTTATTCGTTTCCTCTCTCTGTTATCACATGTAGATGAATTGCAGTCATAGGATCTTGATTTTCTCTCTTTGTTTTGCATAGAAAGTACTCCTGGCTCAGCGCTTCTGTTTGCAGCTTCCTTACTTTCCTGGATGTTATCATCAGCTGTGTTTCCATTGACCATAAAATTGCGCAAATAGAAAATGCAAAAATAAATTTGCTTAATTGAAACACGGTAATTTAAAAAAAAAGTCCTGTTTTTCTACACTGCTCAAAAAAATAAAGGGAACACTCAAATAACACATCCTAGATGTGAATGAATGAAATATTCTCATTGAATACTTTGTTCTGTACAAAGTTGAATGTGCTGACAACAAAATCACACAAAAATCATCAATGGAAATCAAATTAATTCACCAATGGAGGCCTGGATTTGGAGCCACACACAAAATTAAAGTGAAATGTTCCCTTTATTTTTTTGAGCAGTATATAAACCTTTAGCGCCGAGATGGGGTGGTGTTCATGTGATCAACAGGTGGATGTTACTACTGACGGAAACGCCAAAGAAGACAACAGGAAATGGTCTTCTTCATGGTTTATTTTTGTTTCCTGGCTCCACCAGAGTTCTCACAGTTCATAAAAAGTTGTGTATCATTCAAACGTGTCGAATCCACAACTCTTAAAATGGCTGACAACAATTTCTGTAAAACGCTGCATAGGTAATCTCTCCCACATAGGCAGGGCTTGTTTCTCCAACGCCTGAATAAGACGCTGACATCTCCTCTGATTGGCTGGTAGATGATGAGCGCTAGCACCAGACTGAACTATCAACATATCTCATATCACAAATGTGCACAAAACTAAAATATAATAATAACGAATAAACACAATTTGATCATTACAGTGTTTCCATTAAATAAGAAAGGAAATTAAAATCACACATTAATAAGTTTGTTCATGTGATAAGTCATGATCCTCCAACCACTTCCTGTCGTCTTCGTGGTTTCCACCAGTAGTAACATCAAAGTGCCAAAACCTTTTTTATCAGAGAATAAGTTTTTTCAAAACTGTCGTCTTTACATAAAGGGAATTTATTTTTGTAATTTCAATTTGTGCAATTATCCGGTCAATGGAAACGCAGCTAGTGATGACGCTATGCTACAGTCAGACTGTTTTACTGTCCTCTTCAGACAAACTTTGACACCAGAAACCATTAAGAACGTAAAAAGGCTCAACAGCAGGATCTGTTGTTAGTTGGTGTAGAAAGACACTCATTCATTCAAGGTTATGGGGTGAAGGTACGGCGCTCCTATCTGCCCACAGAGACAAGGCCATGGACTGTAGTAAAACCAAACGGCTGCTCTCTGGGTGTGTCTGTTGCGCCTCTTTACTGTCATCTGAATTTAGCTCCAAACAGTTTCAGGTATCTCCAGGTTTCTGTCCAATAAAACGAGATTTAAATACTAGGAGATCAAAACACTGTGTCTTTAACTGCTGGGAAAGGAAAGGGCAGAGAAACACCCAAGGACATGGGGAAGACAGGAAGTGAGTGCAGTGGAGGGAGACAAACATGGAGGACTATTGGAGATAAAACATCTGGGTTGTTTGGGATGAACATCTGTCTGATCTCCATCTCCTCCAGGGGAAATCTCTGTTCTTAATGTTTTTACCCCTTTTTCATTACAGTTGTTCTCAATCTGATACACTTGTTTTCACTCAGTTCTCAACTCATTTTCTTTCAAACATGTTTTATATCCATGGTTAAAATTTCAGAGCTGAACCTGCATAACACAGAGAAGCTTCAATGTTCCACACAAAACACTGGAAAATGAAAAAACATTTCCTGCATCATAAATTATCTGAAGGCTGCAGTTTATAACGTTTATAAAAAATAGATTTTTACATACTTGTTGAAATTTTCACCAAGTCATGACTGATAATCTGTGAAAAGATTGAGCTCCTCTTCATTGCTCCTAGTGCTACCTTGAAACAACCAATCAGAGTCAGGAGGCGGGTCTTAGCGCTGTCAATCAGCCTTGTTTTCTACAACCCTGGCGCTACCATAGCCTGTTGTGAAAGCTCAGGCTAGTTAGCATAGCCATCAATATTATTTCTCCATTATTACCACATTTAGCAGCAAGTATATGAGGATGATTGACAGCACTGAGCCCCTCCTCCTGGTTCTGATTGGTTGTTTTTGGTTCTTCACACAGGACTAGCAGCTCAGGGAGGAGGTGGAGGACATCGATTGATTCACAGATTATCTGTCTCAAACTGCCACAACTTGCTGAGAGCTATAAAAACATATTTTTAAAAAATACATTCTGCAGCTCTAAATAAAGAGTTTTAGTTATTATGAAGAAGATTTAAGCAGTGAAGTAACTGCTAATGTGCTAATAGTGAAGCTACCTTTGAAAACATTTAGCTCACTTAGCTCAGCTAAACATTAAATCTACCATTGAAAGTTTACAACTCTCAAGCACCAATTTACTTTTTACAGTGTAACTTATATGCTCTATAAATATTGCATTTACATATTGCATTTATGTATATATTTTGTCACCTTCTGTCTTTTATTTTAATTTTGTTTGTAAAATTATTGGGAAACAAAAGAGAGAATGCAAGAAGGGGAAACAGTCTTCACGACTTCAAAATAAGAGCATTAATAT